GGTAGATACAGTATCATGCCAAAAAAAAAAGTATCCCTCAATTGACCCCTCTCCAAAACTTAACATCGACGGGACGACCTCTACGACCACGACCACGACCACCACCATCAATGCATCCGGTGGACCATGTCATCTTCGCATACTACTCCATAGTTTAATGAGGCGAACACACGGGCCAGAGCCCACTTCTGTGACGTGGGAGGCTACGTAGGGTGTGACTAACAGTATTCTCCCAGGCGGTGTACTGGGCGGTGTACAGGAAATTCCTCTTTCAGCCAGACATATCACTGTGGCTGGAGCATGTGGCTGGCCCGACTTACTCAGCAGGTTTCCATCCTCTCTCGGCGGCCGCTGCGGTCTCTTACACGCACCGATTGTGCAGCTATTTCATTGATAGCAAGACAACTGCTATATTTACAGCTGGGCGCTCATCTGACTGGCTTGCGCGAAGCATAATTGAGTCTGAAGTGACTGTGCGCGCTTGCAAGAAGCTTGTATGCAAATTTATAGCTCATTCTTTATTGACCGCAGCCTATATCAATAACCATCGGGCCATCTCTCATTTAATCTGCGCTCATTGAGGTGTTAATCTTCTGGAAAAAAAGCACACCCTATTGAGGCGCCATATTGTGTTCTAAACTACACTCATCCAACTGTTGCCACGCGCACCTCACGACTCCACAGGGAAAATGGCAGGAGCACCCAAACCCGGCCCCAACCCGCCTCGAATGCCCATCGTGGTGCCGGAAATGACCGCCGCCCCCTCGCAGGACGTGAAGATGTCCACAGCGAACATCAGCGAGTCCAGCGTAGTTACCCCCGACAATGATGTCTGGGACACCGAGATGCAGCTTGTGTCATCGCTCGCGAAGCTCCAGGAACTGGAGGGAATGGTGAGAGCAACAAAAAAAGCCCAATCCTTTTTTCCGTTTCTTGTGTTTGGATGAGAACCGCTCCACTAACAACCGAAACAGATCCATCAATTGCGCACACTGCTTCCAGGAAGGTTACTGGAACCCCTGATAACGGCCGCCAACCCGGGCATAGCGGCTGGCCGGCAGCAGGGCGTATCGTCGCCATCATCATCATCCTCCCCGCGGGCCGTGTTTGAGCAGCTCAAGCAATGCGTCCATAGCGGGGTGCGGGAGGTTGCGGAGTTCCAGACGCTGTGGCGGAGTCCGGAGATGAAGAGCGTCTGGGATCGGGTCGACGCCCAGATCCGGGGGAACGGGGGCCAGCTGCTGCAGCCGACGGGGATGTGGGAGGAGGACTACGACGTGCTGCTGGAGGGGCTCGTCCGGGAGGAAGAAGGGAAGCAGGCGGAGCGGCGGAGCGCCGAGGAGGAGGCGGAGCGGTCGAAGGTCCAGGCCACGGAGGGCGGCTGGCGGGCGATCGTGGAGGGGTTTGCCCAGCGGAACGTGCCCGGAGTGCGGGTGCGGATGAGTAAGACCGAGGAGGCGTCGGTGCTGGTGGCGCTGGTGAAGGCCGGGATGGTCTTCCAGGTTCACACCGTCGAGGGACTGGAGAGCCACGGGGTGCCGGAATGGCGGATCGCCAGTAAGGCGGCGCCTGGACAGCCCGTCACCAAGCTCGAGGGCGCGGTCATGCAGTGCTTGAACTCGCGTCCCCGGCAGTGGGACCTACTCCAATTGCTGGTGAGTTCTTTGGTCCTGGTACTTCTCCCGTACATACCTAACGCAGCAACAGGAGATGTTATCATCGTACTCCGACATCAAACAAACGCCGTGCCTGAAATGCAACAAGCTGACCGACACTGCGGCCCAGTTACCCGCCGTCCGCAGGCTGAAACTCGTCCCATCCGCGGACGGCCAGCAGTCCACGACCGTCTGGGAAGCCTATCATCCCAGCTGTGTCTCCGAGTGAGAGCAACAAGCAGAGACGATCATCGAATAGTCTTCATCAACTTCACCACTTCATCAACTTCATCAACTTCACCAACTTCATCAACTTCATCAACTTCACCAACTCCATCTACTCCATCAACCACACACGGCAAGCATTTCTCAATCCTTGTACAGCAATTCGATACCACTCATCAACCTGTCCACATCCAGTAGCGCCGACCAGCTCCCCCCACCCCGAGGATACCTCAATCCCAGTCTCATGATCCAACCCCGACTCTCAAACACAGACAATGAGACCTACAAAACCGTCGACCCCACGACAACCCACGACCTCAAGCAATCCACACCTCCTCAAACCCCCAAACAATACCGCTACCTAGACTCGGAAATCCACAAACCCCTCAACAAGAAACCCTCCACAAGACACAAGCAGAACAAAACCACTGCACAACCAAGCGAACCATCAAACCAAGCTACCCACATCCTCAACCTCAGATGCAATGAGAGAAACGCGACACCTAAGAAAGCATCACGATATCCAATCTATGCTCGCCGAGCCCAGTTGAAAGCACACTGCATCGCAAATGAGAGCCAACTCACCGCTCATGAATGATCCAGACGGGACGGGACGGGGAACCAAAAACACCAACTTCATACATAACGCATCTACATACCACAATACAACCTTTCACAATCTCAAAAGATTAAGAATAGGATTATCATGCCATATCTCGGGGTCCAATTTCCTAAACCCTTCCATTCCAGTATCCACGTTATCCCAGTAAAGAAAGATGTACTGTAGCTGTACCATTATAACCCCATGCATGAATACATGCATTCGTGCATATGCAGATACACTCACGCGCACACCCACACGTACATAGAATACATACAGCAGTAAAATATGCAGATCTAAGTACACACACACACACACACACATATGTCTATATAACAATCCCCTCTACAGCACAACTAAACTGGAATACACAAGATACACGTTCTGAGTCCCAAGATCCTATAATATATTCATCAATCTATCAACAACATACATTATCACCACCACCCCCAAAACGAAAACAGGAACACGCCAACCGAAACAACACATGTAGAAACGCTATTATTCATGAATATGACGAGAGCACGGAAACAAGAACCCTTCGCTTTGCACACCCAAAACATGATGCAGGATTACATTTTCTTTCTGTGCGGGATAAAACAGAAAATTAGAAATAGGATGGTTGCTTTCATAACGTTTTTACACAAACAAAATCGCCCTATGTGGAAAAGACCCCAAAGTCACCGGCGAACCAGGTGAAGGTGGTGATCGTGATGAGGACCATGCCGAACACGAACTTGAGACCTTGGCGTTCGAGTTCGGAGAGGGCACCGCTGCAGGTGGCGCAGACGAATCCTGCAGAGGGTATATTCGATTAGCCTTGAAACAAATGGGGCAACAAACTCGGGGAGAGACGAACCATTCAATGGTGTGTACGACTGCGGACTGTACATAGCGAAGGTGTAACTGGCGGCGCTGAGGTGGCCGCCACTGGCCGTGTCGGAGATGGCCTTGCTGGCGTCCCAGACGATCAGCGTGTACGAGGCGGTCAGCAGCGGGACCGTCGCATTGGCCTTGTACTCGCCCGTGTCCCAGACGACCTTGTTGGTCTCCTTGACGGTCATGTTCTGCGTGATCGTGTACTTGTGGCTGTTCAGGCTGCACGAGGCGATGACGTTGACCGCCGTCGGCGTCACGTCCAGCGAGGTGTAGTTCCAGGCGAACGTCACCGAGTTGCCGATCTTGTAGTACGTTGTGGTCGTCGTCGCGGGCGTCAGCATCGAGATGCCACCGGCCCAGGCATTGGTGGTCGTCGAGTTGCTGGACGTGGTTTTCGTGCTGCCCTTCTTGGTCGATGAATCGGATCCCGTCTCGGTCCCGCTGTTCGTGCCGGTCCCGGTCGCGGTGCCAGTGGCCGTCCCAGTTGCGGTCCCCGTGGCCTTGCCGGTGGCTTTCGTCCCTGAAGCGGTCTCCTTGGCCGAGTCGGTGGCCGAGTCGGTAGCGGAATCGGTCTTGGCTGCACTCTTGCCGGTCGTGGCGGCTTGGCCGGTCGTGGCGCTGTCGGCTGCTGTGGTGTCTTTGGAATAGTCAGTATGGAGGAAGAGTGAGCCAGCGTTTAGGGGCTGAGGCGGTACTGACCAGCTCGCCGCAGGAATTGACCGTGCGCCAAATCGTCCCCAGGGGAGGGGAACGCCGATGAGATCGTCCCCAGGAGGAGGAGAATGCACAAGGCGGGTAGGAGGTATAAGGAACGCATGATGGTGGTGCGGGCTGTGCGGGCGATGGAGGTTGTAGAGAGTGGGTGAAAACCGAGGGGTCGAGTGATCCCCCTTGGCGAAATTCAGGGTCCGATCGACGTGGGCCCGTCGCTGTGATGAGGATTCGTCTCTCAGACAAGAAGGTGCAATGTGTTGAGCGATTGAGATTAAGCGGATGATGCAGTCGATGGCGATGGAAACGGTGCCCAGAGATTGACAAGACGATGGAACTGCAGAGGGTGGTCGGTCTTTTTAGGCCAGCGGGCCTGAAACATGCAGATCGGCTGATAGATTATCGGCAGGGTCCAGCGAGAGTCGGGGTGGGTAAACAAAGCGAGTGACGGGGCCTGGCGCTCAACAAAACTGCAAAGGACGAGAGCAGAGAAGCGACTGACACTTATCTGGGGACGATGCAGAGGAGGATAGAATAAAAGAGTAAAAAACAAGGGCCCAAACAGACCACAGGCAGGCGCAGCAGAAGACGAGAGGCGAGCGTGAGAGCGAGCGAGCGAGAGAAGCGAGAGACTAGCAGAAGGAGAAGGGGAAGAGGGGACTAACCCGATTGGGCCATTTGTGAGACACGCAGCTATTTTTGGTATTCACTGGCCTGAGGCAGCAAGGCATTATTCACTCATGGATGACATGATTCAACGCACATCTTGGACAAATGTTGTGCATACCCTTGCACCTCGATTCGCTCCTTGCACCCAGTATCCTGCACATCTACAAGCCACTATTGCCAATTATTGCTTCCTTTACTTGCCGAGTCGCAGATACTAGCAGATAAGTAAAAGATGCACTGGATGGTATGTATAATTGGTACTCGGTATATATTTCTCACTGTCCCTCAATCATCGATAGCTAGAACTCAATAAAAAGCAGAACGCTATCGCACGAATCACACATAGATACATTGGCTTCCCATCATCATCCTTCGCAGGTCATTATTACGATTATTTAGCATTAACATCAGGGCGAAAAGTCTTAACCGTCGTCGTACTGATACAGATCTTGTAAGCGTCAAGCTGGCGGGGAGGAGGCGAATAGTTCTCCGGATCTTTATCTTTGCGTCGTATGATTCATCAACCACGAGGCCTCGTTGTGGTGGTGGTAAAAGCAAAATACCCCCCTCGTGCCTTGTCTAGGAGGTATATTCAACGGTGAGGTCGACCTTGTCGCAGGAGGAAGGGATCGTGGCCGGCAGGTACTGGTAGAGCCAGAAGAGCTGAGGAGCGTTGTGGTACCAGTCGCAGACTAAAATAGATAAGGAAAAGAATTTGTCAGTGACAAGTGTCCCTCTATGATTAACTTCGTGCAGATTGGGGTTCACTTACCCAACCAGCCGCCGAAACCGTTCTGCTCCGACCACTGAAGACTCGTACCGTCGACCGAGAAACCTTCGTCACCGTAACCGACATTGATCTGGACGGGTTCCCATGCTACAACACGAGGTTAGCCCAATGCGTATTTTTTTCGTCGGAGAGGCGAAAACTGACAAGCATAGTTGGTGTTGGCACCCATCTTGAAACCCCAGGGGAAAGTGGTGCCCAAGTCGAACTGAGCGTTTGTGCCGTTCAGAGTAACAGCTCTGGCTTTGGAAGTGTCCGAGGTGAGCACGGCATCATTGAAGCCGGCGCCGGTGTGATAGGCGTAGACGTAGAGGTTGTTGTGAGCGTCGTTGGCAGCGCCGGAGGTCTTGAGGTAGAAGCTCTTAGCGGTGTCGCGAGCTTGGATGGGGCTGGCCGCAACAGCGGAGACGAGCAGAGCGAGAGAAGCGATGAACTTCATGATTGCGAGAATTGAACGAGAATTAAATGTGAAGACGAGAGAATGAGAATCCTGTACAGAGGTAGATATTATGCTGTAAAAGGAGGAGAAGATTGTGTGTGATGAAGAAGGGATGCCAATGGGAATGACGGGTATTTAAGTATGGAGCGGCGAGCACTCCCACCAGATCCGGTGGGGAACAAGGCCGTGGAAGACAATTTCCTAAGGAGGCAATGGAGGACGGAGATCAGAGGAACCAAAGCAAGAACAAAGTCAATGAACACATGAAAGGACGAAAGAGAGGAGACAGGAACTGAAGTGGTGGTTGAATTGGTGGGTGCAGATGGACTTGGCACTGCCCCAGGAACCCTCCCCGGTTTGAAGGAACACTGGTACGGAATACTGCAGGCTGAACGGGATTGATTGAATGATGGAGGCAAAAGAGAACAAGAGCAAGAAGAGCAAGAAGAGCAAGAAGAGACTTGGCCGGCCCACTCACGGACAGTCCGCTACTCCGCTGCCTTCAAGGTTGGGCGTCGGCCACGACCGATTGGCTTTGGAGTCAAAGTGGTGATTGGTCTGGAGAATAATCAGTCAGCGACGGTGGGCGGCGAAGTCGGAGACAGACGGTGATTGGCACAGAAAGGCGGGGGAGTAATGAGACATTCCATGTTCTGTCTGGCTGTCTATCTGTCTGGCCCACAACGAGGAAATCTCCCCATCATGTGCTGTGCTGTGCTGTGTGTGCTGTGTGTGCTGTGTGTGCTGTGGGAAATTGGAGGCTGGAGGTAATCAAACCACCACACATTCTGCCAGGTACTGCTTACAGTACAATCCTCCCATTTCTTAAAATTCTACTCAACACTAAACAACATGCAAAATGAAAACGCTGCCTTTATTTTTATTCCGTTCAACAAATACATACAATGCAGCAAACCCCAAACTTGAAGCCAGTCGATCCTCATCTACTCTGTCGATCCCGATCTATGCTCACGTATCAAGTAAAATGACCATTGGATCTTCAGGACTGTATTATCACAATCCTACCCCATAAACTAACGTCTATCTGATGCAAAAACTCTATGCACCTGTCCCCTGAGCAGCATAAACAAAAAAAATAAAAATAAAATAAAACATAATAGCTGTGTCAGCCAAAAAGTGGATTAACTTAATTATAGAAACAAGCACTTTGTTCTCCCCTTTGTCAGCATCAGCCATGAAGAAAGGACCCTAGACTATAATCTGACGTTAAGGCTGTGCTATCATACAGGAATTGTGCACTTTGCTCGCCGATCGGATCTCCGAATTCCCCCCAAATTATCAAAGCGACTACATCACTCCAACGTTTGTCGTTTGCTCTGTTGTATGTGTGTGTGGCCTTGACATCATGATCGTCCATTTCCGTTCAACGATGCTGGCCGGTACGGGGCACCTGCACCTCGGGGGTGCCTTACATCACACAATCCCATCTGAAAATCTGAGCTATAGGGGCTAAACAGTAGCCGAGGAAAGTCCTGACTTTTTTCAGGAGGTCGTGGAATTTCCCGCACGTTTGTCCCTTCCCGCATGGCAGGATCCGTGAAGGTTGGTGTTGAAAGGGAAGGTTGCATATACTTCCGGGCTATCTCCGAGACATGACTCGGAACAAGGCACCAGACACATGACTATAATACGGAAGATAGATCAGATGATTCAAGCATCATAAACAACGAGACATCTCATGCATGAGAATGCAGTATCTCGTATATATCGTCATGTCTCAGACTTATGAGGGGGAGAGTCGCATCCGCCCGCAGCAATGTAGACTTGTCTCACCCGATACGAGGTGGGTTGCATATCGCTTAAACAACATATACATCGACGCATACAGAAAGAAAAACCAGGATCCCTACGAGGCCGCCGGGTACAGGCGAATATCCACCCCATGTAAATGCGACAGGGTCAGATTGGACATGATCCGGGGCTCCTCCACCGCCGGTGCGGCATTTTCGATCCGGTCGAAATGCTGCAGCAGGCGGACCAGGGTATAGCTCGCTTCGGTCAGGGCATATTGCTCTATCATCCAACAGGTTAGCAAAGCATTTGCCTTATAGGGAAAGTGATGGGGGCTTCAAGGAATTGCGGGATGTAACTCACGACCAAGACAGATCCGGGGCCCGCCGTTGAACGGCAGGAAGTCCCACCCGCGGATGGCGTTCTCCTCCCAGCGTTCCGGCCGGAAGCTTCGCGCATCAGGCCCGTAGAGGTCCTCCCGCCGGTGCATCGCATATACGGAGTACGTGACGAGCTGGCCCTTGCGAATAAACACGGGGGCCTTGCCGTCCGGGCCGCCGCCCAGCGGGAGTGAAGTGTCTTTGACAGCGACACGGAAGTTAAGTGGCACGGGGGGCAGCAGACGGAGAACTAGTCGAGTCGTCAGTACCAAACCTCATTCATGGGAATGGATTCTGAGTTACCTTCGTTCAGGAAATACCGCAGATATGGGATGTCCTTCAACCGCGCCTGCGTGATCTTCGCCCGCGGATGCACACGATCACCGAATTCCTCGACGATAGCCCGCCGCAGCCGGTCCCAGACGGCGGGATGACGTGCCAGGTAGAAGAACGCCGAGCTCAGCAGACTGGCCGTCGTGTCACGTCCTGCTAACAGAATATTGAGCATGTTATCACGCAGGACCCTCGGATCGTCCGTCTCCGCGGCCAGCGCCTCGGCGAAGATGTATCGATCCGCACTCTTGTTCGAGTTGTTCTTTGAAGCCAGCGCCAGTCGGACGTAGTGGTCGACAACCTCATGCACGCGCTTGTTGGCTTCTTGGAACTCCTTCGGGTTGACCAGCCAGTACAGGCCCATGAACCGGTTGCGGGTGAAAAGGTACTCCTGCGACAGGTTGAAAGCCTCCGCGAAGCCCTGTGCATCCCCGACAGTTGTCTTCTCCAATACCCCGGTATGGCCGGAGGAGTGCATCGCGTTGACTGACTCGCCGAACAGGAAGTGTGTTGCGGAGTCGATGGTCAGCAGGAAGAAGAGGCGCTGGATATCGAAGTCGCTGCCATTCTTCGGGATCAGCTCGATCAGCCGGGAGACGTGACCGTCCATCAGATCTAGATCCGCCACCTGTCCGCATTTAGTTTCTGGGCCCTGAGATGCGTGAGATATATGATTTGGCCTTACCTGATCCCGCGTGAACTGCGGCCGTAACAACGCCCGGGCATGCGACCAGCCCGCACCATCTAGTGTGAAGATGCCGTCCCCAAGCAAGGGATAAAACTCACGGTGGCGGGTACCCAGACTGAAGTCATGGAATTGGGTGGCTAAGAGGGCTTTCAGATTCTCAGGCTCAACCGTGGACAGAATCGAGACCCCTCCTAGCCCGGTCAAGCTGAACGTGGGTCCATACTGATCGTAGAACCCCGCAATATATTCGACCACCCGGCTGTCCTTCGCTGCCCGTGCGAGTTCGAAGAAACTCTTGAGACCAAGAGGATCAGATGGAATCTTTTGTGGAGGCTCGCAGCCCAGCGATTTTGCCGTTCTGCGGTTTCTGAATGCTTGTTGGATGGAGCGTAGGATTTGATATGTCAGGTACAGTGCCCCGCTGACCAAAGTGATTAGAGTCAGCATGATGCTGGAGATGCCGGGAAGGAAGGCAAAGGGCTGGCTAATTGTAGAGTGATAGATAAATGAGCTGTATTGAGGCGAGTTTGAGGTAAACCTGAAGCAAATCCTCTCCACCTGTTCCAGATATACTTATTTATACCCGACTCGGGCAACGTTGAAGGATACAATATGGGCATTTTAGGCATAGGATTCCTCGGTGGAGACACATGTCACAAAACGCCCCCGTGTGCCTCGTCGGACGCACTAGTACTTAAAGTTGGAGGCGTAAGAGGATAAAGAAAGGTTAAAGCGACCCAAACAGCAATGATTGGAAAGGAAAAGTGGGAAAAGCACCATGGCTGATTCGTGATTTCATGGCTAGAGGCTCGGAGGCCGGGGAAATTCGCAAGCATCTCCGAAAAAGGTTAGAAGGTTAGGAGGACGGAAGCGGCAATGGTGTACAGCCCAGTACTATCCATCCAGCTCCTTCTTTTCCTAATCTTCTGCCATCTGCTGGAAACCCAGAACATCTGATTGTGGCCTAATATGTACATTGAAATTGGTCGATCCAGTCTCTCTTTCAGCTCTTGGTCGACGTTCCCGCTCCTGTGCCGAAGCACGGCAGCCACTGCAACAGCGCCGTGGTGAACGTCTCGCGTGACAGTTTGCCGGCCGTGGGGAGCATCTGGAAGTCAAAGCAGTGCTCCGAGTCCTCCAGGATATATCCAAAGACCGTGTTCTCATTGGTCGTCACCCCACACGACGGAATGTCGCTGGAGAATTGAACGCCCTGGGGCGCCGTGTCCTCTGTCGACAGGACGGACAAGGTCCGCCACGGATCGAATTCCCCTCCACTGGTATATGTGTTCGAGGGTCGGATGGTCCACCCGCCAAACTCGCGGTTGGTCTGCTCCGTCAGAGGCTGGGCCGGTAACAGCCCCTTCTTGATCGCGTCAGGGAACTGCCGGTTGCAGATATGCTGCTGGTACTCGAGGGTCTGATAGCTTGAGAGCAGCGCATGGGGGCCGGCATTATTGGCCTGGTAGAACCCCCATTCGGTGCAGTACTGCCACGTCCAGCTTATGGTCGAAGGGTCGCCGTACGGCTTGCTCAGATCGCATTCCAGCGGCAGGCTGGTGTTCTGGCCCCTGCAATTGGTGTCCATGTTCTGGTTGACCAAGGCCGTCAGCACGGGCCAAGCCGCCCAGCGCTCCGCCACATATTGCTTGCCGTAGATGGAGGCCAGCCCATCAGGACCGGCAGTCTGGTTGGTGTTTGGGTCAGTTTCCAGGTACTCGCAGAAAGCCCCCAGGCCTGCCGTGCCCCCGTTCATGCCATACGACTGGAAACTCCCGTACATAGCCACCAGCGCGGCTGTGAAGTCCCCGTTGGAGTTCTTCTCGGCTTCCGAGCCGAGGAACAGTTGCTTTATCGACCCTGCCGTTTGATTACTCGACAGCTGCTCATCGATGTATTCTAGCCCGGCACGAATGTCCTTGGTGCAGTTGGCCCACCCACTGGCCACCATTCCTCGGTAGACCTGGTCGAAGTATTCCGTCATATTCACTTGGGCCTGTACCGGTGCTGAGGAGGACCAGGCAGCGAAAATGGTATCCGGGTACTCCTGGCGAGTCAAGGCCGCGCGGATGCCAGCGTATGAGCCACCGATCATGACCCAGGGGGTTCCTGCGGGAGTGAGATCGACATCAGGATGGGCCTTGCGACTGAAATTCCGTGCAAAGTACGGGAGATCTGCGAGCGCTTGCTTGGTTGTGAGGTATTGATAGTTCTCTGGCGGAGTGTCATAAGTCACAGGGAAGGGGGTCGATTTGCCATAGTATCTGACGCTGTCAGTCCATTGAGCCGACCCAAGCATCTCCGGTGCGGGTAGACGAACCTATGCTCCCAAATGATTCCCATGGCATTGAATTCCTCTAGAGTTGACCGGAAGAATGACAGTGACGAAGTGAGGTGCGCCTGCGCGACCGAGGCCGCCTCCGTCTCTCCGGCGTCGTAAACCAAGATCGGCTTGCCGGCTTGATAGAACTCGTCACTCACCCAGAATCGGTTTCTGTATGTACCTGCCGATGCGTTGTTGTGATCGATCGGGATCTACGGACGTTAGATCCGCACCACCGAGCACAAAACCTCTGCGACCCTTACCGAGACGTATTCGTCTTTTACCGTCACCATCGCCGAGTGTGAGACGGCTGAATGAATGCTTGCGTACACATGACGGTCAAGGTCCGGCTCTATCCCCAGTTCCGCGAGTAGTTGCACGTCGCGACCGAAGGGGATCTTCTTCCCCCGCCCGACCACCGAGGATGGAAGTAACGCGACCGCAATCGCGGCAAGACATGATAGCTTCACATACATTTTCCTTGTGGTGGATGTCGATGAGCAGGCACAGTGCAAGAAAAGATGCTCAAAGGCCGGAGCGCGAGTGCCATTTTCCCCATGGACGACGCCATCATGCGGTCCCTTTCGCTATATATACGCCTCTCAGACATATTTCCGAGCAGGACGGTTTCGGCTGCCTATATGACAGAGTGGATCGCAACAGAATGGCCACGATTTCAAACGGTACCAAGCGAGCCGAGTCATGCATGCTGTGTTGTTGACTGAGGGTGGACAAACAAACAGCGGCGGCTGCATAGGTAACCAGGCATGCCGCTTGCTCTGTGTTCGGCTTCGCTCGCTGGAATGTTGGCCAGGGGCTCGGCCCAACCCCTGGCCGGAATTGATGAAAACATCACCGAGACGATTTGCTGCCTGGTTCTGGGGTGGGGGTTCGTTCCTTTTTGCAGTTCCGATGTTAAATCCCCAGACTGAGATCTGGGGGCTGTGCCGTGTTCCGAGATCTCAGATGTCACTGGAAATGTGGACAGCAGGGAAACAACAGTCGCATTGTCCGACCTGGTGACTCCGATGGAGTTCTTTCGGCTTCATACAAACCTTACTTCTACGTCGTACAAGCTGAATGTCTCGTGGATTGCCTTGAGGCAAGGTCACTTTGTATCGATATCTTCCTACCCTCAAAACCCCAACTCAATGATGAGATATAGTACGATGCGCACTCCGTGGACTTTCGATGAAGTCTCCAGCGAGCCCGAGCAATCTGCAGCTGTCAAGTAGAAGCCGACTGATCGAGTCCATTGCTCCACCGAGTGTGTTTTTCTCACACAAGTAACAAGGGCCACAGGTCTCACCATTCTACAATGCCACAACCATGCTGAACAATAACTACCCTACGATCTTCAAGTAGCGGATGCGTCTCTCAGCCGAATAGGACCAGGCAGTATCATCAACATGGCCTTCATCCATCCCCTTAACCCTCGATCCGCAAGTAGACAATAAAGGTAGCACAGACCAAACCGTGAAACCTCCATCCAACACTTGAAACCCAAAGAGACTCGCAATACCCCCAAAGATGGATATCACAACCCCGGATAACCACTCATCCCCTCCCCACCTCCGCATCCGATACCCGCCAACTCTCCTCCAGCGCCAGCATCCCCCAACCCCTCATCCACCGAGACTGCACCACCTGTCGCGCGGTAGTTCTCTCCTGAGGCCGAAACGCCAACATCCCACGCAACATCTCCATCAGCGCCGCCCTTTCATCCTCCGTCACGCGTTCCAAACCCACCTCAGCCCGGGGCTTCTGGATACTCTCCTCAAACCGCCTCTCCCAGGACCTCCGCCCACCACCGGGGCCCAGCCCTCCCCGTCTTCACCAGATCCAGCTCGCCCTCTTCGCTGAACCACTCCAGCCTCCTCTCCCACCTCCCCCACCATTTCCCCGGCAACATCCCAAGAACCTCCACCCACTCCGCCGCAACCCGATCCGGACTCGGGAAGAACGTCTCAAACAGCGGCCGTTGCCCGAGGATTTCCCAAATGGTACAAGCGAGCGTCCAGATGTCCGAGGCAAAGGAGAGCGGCTCGTCGGAAAACCTGGCCTCGGGCGGCTGAAGAAGCGGCGGGGTTTTGGAGGCGGTCCTCACCGTTTCGGACGGCACAAACGACTCCCCAAAGTCGCTGAGCGTGATCTGCTCCTCGCCGAGGGCAAGATCATCACTGCGCACGCCGAACCACCCAGCCAAGAAAACCCGCGCGGGGACGCCCTCCCCTAAAGGGTGACCATCGAGACGGACCACATCCTCACACTCGGGCTCGCCGTACCTCTCGTACAGTTCTGATGGGGTGGAGATACCGTCAATGGACCTGAGAAACCGAACAAGAATATTACCTAGATGCAGATCTTCAGGGGGAGAGGGGGTCACGGAGAGTCAGCTCTAGCCAAATCCACCCCGCGGAGTCTGATGGAGGAAAGGGACATCACCACCATACTAACCGCCATGTACAAAGCCCAAACTGTGGAGGAAGGAGACGCCCCGAATGAGCTGGGCGATCATCGATTGCGCGACCCGGGGCCGAAACACCCCAGAAACCGAAGCCTCCTTGGCATCGAACAAGCTCATCCGTGCCGGTGGAGTGGCGATGCATCGATGCTGTCCATTGGGACTCGCAGCCCAGAATTCGTCCAAGAGGGGTCAGAAAACTTCCTTGCCGGGACGAGACACCGCACTTGCTAGGGAATGTAGCACCCTAACTTCAGGGGAGTGGCTGCTGGCGTCGGCGGTAATGGTCTTCACGGCGACATATCGGGCTTTCTGGCAGTCACGGGCCAGCCATATCGTCGAGTAGCCCCCGTACCCAAGCTTGCCGACCACTTGATATCGGCCATCAGCTAAGCTATCGCCGACCTGTAAAGGAGGATAGCCACCGGGGCAATATCGGTGCAGGTCTTCGACGTCTTCAATCAACCTGTACTGGAACTTGCGAGACGACGTGGCGGATTCATCTGTATCTTGACTCATATTATCTGATTTCCGTGGGGTGCGAGTGGACATGGCCGATAATGCCTCCCTGCCATGAAACCGATTGAAGACAAACTTGCATACCTGGCTGCGAGGGCGCCGCCGGGCATTCATGTATGTGGAAGGACATGTGAACATTTGCAGAGCGGGCACTGGGCCGAAGAAACTGCTGTGAATATAAAGACTAACATAAATGTATATTCTATAAGAGACGTTTCCAAACCCTTGTCCTGGGTTGCTGGTGACTGAGCTGTTGTTGATGTTGGTGATTGATCGATAATGACTAATCTATGACCAATCAGCCCATGCCTTGTTCAATGGGGTATCTCAATTCTTATAGTTGTTAACTAATAGGTAAATTAAGATCTCCTGGCAGCTCACCTCCCCAGCGCTAAGGTAATGGTTTTCCATACAAGTCTTTTCTTTTCTCTCAGATCCGCACTCGACATGACTGGATTCTGCAGTACATGGAACAGAGAGCCTAAGGTGACACCGTATGTACTGCTGTCCTGCCCGTCCATCGTCCCTTGGACACGCCTTAGCACCTGAAGGACCGACCCGTTGATCTATAAGGGAGTATTTTCGAACACAAGAGGAAAGATACCCTGCTCATAGAGTACTATTACTACTTCCTCTGCCGGGTACGAGTCTTCCATTCCCTTATGATAAGGGGTTTTCCCCAAAGAGAGTAGTAAATACCGCTGTCCACTTACTATTGTAGGAGACGGAATTTCGATGTTATTCGACTACTATGCTATAATGACATATGCAGGGTACTGAGTGGCCAGGCTGAACCACATACATTTATTCAAGCAGAATAATACTTCAGCAGAAGATTACAATAGGTTATGGATTTCAGTTGATATTAGGTCTTTCCTCCACATACGACTAGAACTGTCCAATACAGCTATCTACTCCCGGCTGCACCATACAGCCCTAGAAACAACCAGCTACTGGAACAGCTCCACACAATCAAAGATCTACACTCGTTAGCAAATTCCTCATCCAACACACAAAAAAAACTTACAAAGTTCGGACTCAAATACGTATCCCCCGAACTTCCAGAGATCACGTTGATCGTAATCTACACATCACATTAGCAACGTCAACCAATCCCACACAAGCCAGCTTACCGTATTTGTTCCCGCGACGATCGTCCCCGACGGGATGGACACATCATACACCTCGCCCAACCCCCGGTACGCACCGCGGGTCACGCCCCGAGAGTCCAGGTTTGTCGGCGCAGCTGGTGCGCTTCCTGTGTAGCTGTTGATCTGTTTGCAAGTCAGTGACTGAAACAATTCCCAAGAGAAGGGGCAGTACCGTCGCCTGGGGTCGTCCACCGGCAAACGACAAGGTCGTCCCGATCCGCAGGGTCGCTGCGCCGGTCTGCGCGGATGTCGCGGTGAATTTGATGGTGACCGGGTTGTTGACGCTCTTGAACACGGCCATCGGGAAGTCAGTCAGAGCGGAACTGCCAACCGTGTAGGTCAGTGGACCCCAGGAGGACATGCGCGAGTCGGACGGGTGCATGCGGAGCTGGTTCGCTGCGTTGCGGAAGCCGGTTGGTCTGTGAAGTCAGTACTGGCACAGTGTCTTGCAGCCAGGGGTACATACTGTCCGTCCCATTCACCAATCTTGAAAATGGTAGTGCCGGTCTTCACGGACCCCGAAATGTTCTTCGTCGTTGTCGATCCGGCGGACACGGTGACCGAGCTCGTGGCGACCGCGTACTCGCCTTGGTAGTAGACCATGGTGTAGGTTCCGGGCTTCATGGCGGGCGAGGTGAAGCTGCCGCTGGAGCTGGTATAAGTCCAGTACTGTGCCGCATCGTTGTACCTACCCTCATTAGTTGACGACCACACCGCAGGAAAAGCTGCGTACCAGTGAACCACCCAGTCCATGCTCGAGTCTGCTCCCGATGCCGTGCCGGTCACTTTGCCTCGGCCTGAGGCGGCAACATAGCCTTGGATGTCAAGGTCCGCGAAGAATGAGGTATCGATACTGGTGCTGGGGGTACCGCTGCGACTGAAGTACATCGAGTATGGACCGTGGAGACCCATCCGGTAGGATTCGGTTTGAACGTGGCCGGAGTTCTAGACTATCAGAGATGACCACCTACATTGGAGGGTTACTCACCATGTACCAGTAGAGGGCGTTGTAGCTCCCTCCGTTGTTCGAGTTGATATCCCTGTGTTGTCAGTTGCCTGTCATCTGACCCGGCTGGAGACATACCGGTGGAAAGGACCTCCGGAGGAGCTTTCGTATTGATTCAAGATCATGCAAACGCGGTGGGCATCCCCGGCAATGCCTGCAAGATCAGTAATACTCCAAGTTTGAGATGGTAGTACTTACAGTGTCGCTGATCGTCGATAAATCGCTCGCTCGAGTAGAACTTGCTGCGGGTTTCACTGCCGACCAAGAACTGTTTACGTCAGAATCTTCCTCGGCCAAAGGTTAGAAAGTCACATACCACATCCGATCCCTCAATGGCAGTCCCATCGGCGGTGGTGGAAACGTCGCCAAACGGCTCCTCGTTCGGTAGCACGTCCGAGTTCAGTCGAGCGATAAACCGCAGCTCGCCGATTGACGGTTCTGCCAGGTATCAGCCATCAACCACGCCTCAACGAGACAATCAACTGACCGGCAGTGATATATGTCGCCATGTGAATTATCGGGTCCCCATTGTGCACCACCATGTACTGCGTCAAGGTGTCCGTCACACAGGTCACCTTGATATAGTCACCGGACTGCACGGCGGTCACCGTGGCAGAGCCCAGACCCGACCCAATGTGACTGCCCTGGCTAGAGTACTGCAGCTCCGTGCCATAGTGGACGATGGAGGTAATGTCGCAGCTGCTGCGGCTGACGGTGAACGTCAGCTGGTTTGGTGCATTGGTGTCGATGACATAGGCGCTGGAGCTGGTGGTGATGCCAAAGGCCGCGTTGGCGACCTGGGCCGTGAAGGCCACGAACGACAGAAGCGACGCTTTGAGCATTGTCCGGGTGTGCAGCATTGTAGCGCACTGTACCAGTGCTGTGCGGTCGTGGTATATATACTGTGCTTGGGTCTGTGCCTGAATTGCCCCTTACCGCTGTCACGCAGGTCAGCGCTCGGTCCCATGCCAAAGACTTGGAATGACATCTGTTCCACCAATCTCAGGCACGCCGAGTGTTTGAGTGGTCAGAACAGTACAAGACTCCGTGTGTCCGTGTCGGGAGTAGGGCAAGTGCCGCGCCAAGATGTCTTCAGGATTTAGTGTCGCATGGTGGAAACGGAGTGGAACGGGCTGCGGAGAGGTGAAACGTCGGTAGTTTGAGTTGTACGCGATGTACGCGAGATGTACGCTCCACTGGTAACTGCATTAGAGGATGTGAGATGCAATTCGAGTTGTCAGGTTCCGAACAGAAGACAGCCTACATTTCCAAATTGCACATCTTGTGAATTATGAGTTCTTGTGATAATGTTGATGTCAATGGTGGTTGGGTGGCTCGAGCGTCTGCCGATCCCTCCGCCCGCTCGGTTAGATTGAAGGGTCTTGGAGATTGAAGGGTCGTTCAGTGGTGGACGGACATTTGTCTTGGCTGATGGACGGAGCTTGCTCCGACGGACATTCTGGGCAAAACATGACTCGCCGGGGGTGGTGTCATGGGTGTGATACTGATGTATCTCCACTGCTGGTGTGACAGGGGTGACAGGCGCTTGTTGGTCGGTTCGTGCCTCGAGACGGTGCTTTCAATAGTTCTTCCCTAGCCCGCTTGCTGGAATGGTGGGTACTAGCTAGAGCGCGTCTGTGCTGATGGCTTGCAGGAGAGACCTATCTCGACACTTGCGACCTTGATTTATCATCGTAGTGGTGGACCATGTTAGAGTCGAGCGTTCAGCCAACGGCGAACCGATGGAGAAAATGTATGTATGTCTGCTTCCGTCGGCACGGCAGGTACGATGAAGATCCGTTGATTGCTTCTATAGGCAGGCCCAGTCATGTGAGCGCGGCGGCAGTATAGCCCCTTGAATTCAATCCTCATCTTCCACTGTGTACGAGGAGCTGCCTGAAAGAGGACGAGTGGGCCACTACTAAGCTCAAGCATAGCTCGCATTTCAATGCAATGTAAAGTTTGGCTACTTATCAATGACAAACTATGTAGAAGACAACTAAAGGCCCGCTCTCTCAATGTCATACGCAGACCAATATGTCTACCAGTGATCAGGATTAATCTAACATCAGATATCGATCTGCTAGCTGCCAACTCACACGATGATTTGTACAACGGGATCAGTTACAATCATAGCGGAGAATTCTAGACCAGAACGTCGAGCCTGGCTGGAGGAGACAAATACAAGCTTACTGCGTCCATGCATATCTCCCGCATCATCGCCCCGATACACCATGCAGCTGAACTCGCACCATGCTGATCAACCTGCTATACCAGTTCGAATACTGTTGCTCCCGCTCACCTAATGACGTCGACACAGGATCACGCCGGAAACCATTCAAAAACGTCAACAGTGACTCACACAAGTAGAGCATATATAGTCCCTAGGACGAGGACAGACATCCTGTCTACACCCCCATTTTTGACTGTACTTCTAGGCACATAGCAACATCCCATAATGGCACCGTAAGCCTCCATTCAAAGCCTTTTTTCCTGTGGCGCTTGTGGGCTATAAGTTCTATTTGGCAATAGGAACAATCACACCTCGAAGTTGAAAGCAACCGCCAACAAGGCTTTCAAGCATCCAGACACTCACGGAGCGCAAAAGAAAGAACCTCCTCCAGGAAACACAAAAGAAGGTACCCCCAGCAAAACCATAGGGCAAGCCCAGACCAAGGACACAGCCAAAGAAAAGCACGCGTACGTCAACTGCGCACCGTACAACCTATAAACTGATGACAGGTCCAGCAGCAGTACCTCTCGCTTAACCCCCCCGTCACTTTCCGAAGCATACTGGCATGGTATGTACAATTCCCTGTGGAATAGAGATAGCCCATGTATTGAGATTGACGAAGCGAACCCCCGCGCGTTCAAGTGCGCGCTATGTCGGCAGTGGCATACGGCGCGGTGCCCTTGGTTGAGGAACTATTAGCTGAGCTATTGGATTGATTCGGTAGCAATGCTTAGGGTGCATAAATGGTTAAGGTACGCTGAGCATAATGACTTTAGATTACAAGTAGCTACTTGCTGCTTGCTCAGAAATGTCAGGAAGTTTTTGAAGTCATTGCGGAGACCCCCGTACCCCCCTTGTAGTACATAACGCAATTCTACTATCTATTCATCCTTCTCGATAGACCCGTGAAGACTCCACTTACGCCATCGTAGGAGTCAATCCTTGAGGATGGATCTCTGCATTAGTTGTGGAGACCCCTCTTGTGATGAACAATGCAGCTGTACTATTTTATCAACAGAATAACTTTGTTGATTGAGGAGACGCGACCCCTATACTCCAACCCCTACCTGTTAGTAAGTACTTACTGTACTGAAGTCATTCTCCTCAGAAAGTACCTTTACATGCTTTGGGGAGACCCCCGTTTCCCCCGTTGAGTTAGAAGACGCTGTTATACTAGTTCATTATTCTGCTAAGAGAATATCTTCACGTTTATGGGGAAACCCTCCCATACCCCCCTTCTAGTAGAAGACGCAGTCATAGCATCTTGTAAATAGAATCACCGTCAAATAGAGACTTTATACCCCCAGTAGTAAGACATCTTTCATATGGCACGACGAAGCAAGTGAAAGATAAGAATATGTCTAAAAGATAGTTCCTCTATGTGTGCTTTGCAGTTAGTCTTATCGTCGAAGTGTGGAAACACTATAGTACATCTTTGAGGTTGATTATTTATCCGGGATCTGGCGCCCCCCCCTCCCTCCCCCATTCACGTTCATCACGAAGACTATGAGGTTTGTAATCGGGCATCAGACCTTGCCAACAGATCCGAAGACTTGCGGAGTCAGGTCTGATTTCTTTACCTCCGCCTTTTCCACCTTTTTTCCAAGCCCTCCGTGACTCCGCTTCTAAGACCAATCATAACACATCCGTTCCAGCTCTTCACAGCGCGCCCTACACCTATCTAAATCCTCTTGAATCTCAAGGCATCTCTGCTCGAGCTGCTGAATCTGCGTTAGGTTCAGGGCGGTGGCAGACGAGCTTGCTCGGCGGCGGCGGCGGCGGCGGCGGCTTTTGTCCGATGATGACTCTAGTCCTTGGAAGCTGGTGGTGGTTTGTGGCCGTTGCATCATGATTTGCATCCAGAAGGCATGCAGTTGCATTTCGAGCTCCAAGCAGATGTTCGAGAGGGAAGTTATGGTGAAGGTCGGAGATAGGGAGTTTGTTTTGTGTGGTTGTGGGTCGACCGGAGTGAGGGACATTTGTTCATGATGGTTGTGCTTTTCCCCCAATCGGTCAATATCCAACGATGTGCTCGAGGTATATGGCTGGTAGTGCCTGTTGGCATAGATTTGCACGTACCTGACAGGAATCAAAATCGTGAGTCTCGAGTTGTGGGAAGGGCTCGGACATGGTGTCAGAATTTGCGAACGCTGTTGTGGATGGACCTTGAATTGTTTGATCAGTCGTCTTGTAGTGCAGGACCCCGCAATTTCTGTGAAGGAGGCTTAGAGTACATAGAAATATGCAATCGGCCATTAATGATGAGACGGAGCGGAGTATGGATCACTCTAGGGCACAAGAGACATTATATGGAAGGCCTACGGCGAAAACAGAATGGGTTGCCTAAAACTATGACGTTGTAGAAAAACTAGGATTGCTAACCAGTTAGAAGGGATCCAAGGGTCCGATCGACCCACCTATAATGCCTTGGGAGTTTTACTCAAAGGATGCATACAGGCTTAAGGTTCGGGAGAGCAGAGTATACCTTTTTCAATTCAAATGGAATGGATCATTGCATCCGATAGATTTAAGCTAAGCGATATAATGGATGCTCTAAAGTGGAGCTTTATAGACATGTAGAAGCCAATAAGCAGCTCCCGTAAAAGCCGTATATACGTCTTTCCGATTGGCTCTTAGAGTTAGTGGTTCTGTGGGCCTTTGACAGCAGAGTTCCTCAATTTTAGAGAATCCACTTCATGTTCGTGGCCTGTGGCTTGAGTTGAAGATCTCCGAGTGCTGCTCCATCACTTGTGTGGGCTCCTTAATCGTTACTGTAGGGCTGTAAGCAGTAGTCTTATCTTACATGCCCCAATTTTGAACGTTAGGGCGGGCCGGAGGCTAGAACTGATCGAGTAATTTGAAAAATACCTCAAAAACACGTTTTCTCATTCGATACCAACTTAGAATGTCTGGCAAGATTTATAGTTAACCCACCCAAGGGACTGATGAAGAGAGATTCTTCCTGTAGTACTCATTGAAGAAATATTGGGTAGACGATTGAATAATTTGAGACAAATCTTGTGAATCAGATGGCAAGAGCTCATCAATGCACTGTTCTAACCGTATACACCGTGATCTAACTACTCCTTGAGAATATGACTGGAAGAGCAGCAGCACCTATAGGGTCCAAGTCAACGAATCTGCCTCGATACGCTTCAGCTGAAATCTGTCATAGTAGGTCTGTCCTTTGGCATTAGCAGTGGGGCTGCACCGGCCAGCACAGACCCATCTGCCATTTACGAAATACGCGTATCTCTGATTGGTTCTTCTTCCACCATCTCAAATCTAGAATAGATCTCTCGAGTATTGACCGGCTTGAGCCTCTGAAGGACTGATGATGGTTTGGGGACGAGAATTAGGCACCAGGAAAACCTTTCACCATGAAAAGTGATATATAACTCTTTGGGTAAAGGTGTCCATGTCCAAGATGCCTATTATCTAATCTTTCATTTCTCCTTCTCTCCTTCAGATGATTCTTAACCACGCTCATTAATATTGACATAGACCATAATTTACTTCCACAAAATGACAGTCCAGGTAAAATATCTAGGCCTTAACGACTTTGCTCCTTCTGAAGCGGCCGCCATTGTGTTCGCGATTCTCTTCTTGATCACCTCCATCATACATTACTACCAGGCTTTCCGCTGGCGGACATGGTTTTTCATCCCTTTTCTATTCGGGTGTGCCTGTAAGTGTTTTCTAACAATAAAATGCCATTCTCTCTGCATGCTAATTTTCATGCTACTTGAAATAGTTGAAGTCGTCGGATACTTCGCGGTGAGTCTATAAATTTCCCTGTCCTCAATACCTCTTACCTAACCTTATGTCTCAGCGCGCAAAATCCGCAACCCAATACCCAGACTATACAGTTGGTCCCGAGCTCATCCAATACATCTTGATCCTGGTTGCCCCGGCTCTGTTTGCCGCAAGCATCTACATGGAATTCGGGCGAGTCATGATCATGGCCGACGGGGGGCAATACTCCATCATTCGGCCCGCTTGGCTGACCAAGATTTTCGTACTCGGCGATGTCATCTCATTCTTTGCGCAGTTTATCGGTCAGTCCTTTCCCTTCATTTCTGTCAGCGCAACCCCCAAGGAGTTGCTCTGGCCTTCCAGAAGGCCACTGACCCACAGGAACCCAACCATAGGCGCCGCGATGCTCGCCAAAGCCGCCACAGCCAGCAAAGGTCAAACTATCATGAAGCTCGGTGTGCTCGTGCAACTCGTCTTCTTCGGGCTCTTCCTCGTCACGATGATCATCTTCCATAAGCGCCTCACGAGGCATAAATCCCGGACATACGGGCTTGTGCCGTGGCGGAAGCACCTGCTGGCCTTGTACGTGACGGGCTTGTTGATATTCGTGCGGTCGGTCTTCCGGTTCGCGGAGTTTGTGGAAAGCTCTGACGGCCCTCTGACGCGGTATGAGTGGATATCGTATGTGTTCGATGCGGTGCTGATGTTCGCGACGTGTGGGGTGTTGAATTGGGTGCATCCGGCGGAGATTAAGAGGTTCATTGGAAATACGACTCCAGTGGGAGGCGATGGAGGGTACCAAATGGCTTAAGCACGATTATATGGTGGTTTTTGTGGCTGTTGCTGTTGCGCGAGGGGGCAGCACGGGGTGCGCGTGTGGGGTCCTTTGAAAAGCATATGTGCGTGTAAACATGTGATATGAGATACGAGGATCGAAGCTGATAGACTGTTAGAATAATTCCACATTATGTGTGAACTTTTTACAACACTGAGTCTTTTCCTCTCAGGTTGCGACTCTACCTTATAAGTTGACCAACCCACCGATTACCAAATTGGGCAAGAGATCCTCTGCCGGGAAGATCCGTGCGCTAATCCTGTAAAATTCTTGCACTCAGCCAATCGTAGAGAATCGTTTTTCGTATATCTAAAGCGGGGCTATGTAAGCCAGGCGCTGCTACACAAGTAGTCTAGTGTTTTCCGGAGTACGGTACCGTTCCGGACTCCCGGGTTAACATCAAGTCAGTCTTGGAACGCCTGCATACGAAATTTCTCTCGTATTTGCTCTCATCTCATTCATCCACCTCTTTCACTATCACCCCTACTTTGAAGCATCAAGCAGCTGACCAAGTGTTGTTGTCGTCTCTGCATGCCGCATCGACGTCCCCATCGCAAGTCGCGAACTGGCTGCGCAGAATGCAAGAAGCGACACATCAAGGTAGATTGAAAATTCCCGCCTGGTTCCTCTCTTGCCCCTTTGCAGGAGTTGTTTCCCGTTCATGGAAACCGAAAAAAAAAAAAAACCTGACTGCTCCTTCCAGTGCGACGAAGGTCTTCCGACCTGCAAGTTCTGTAACGAGCGCCGGCTGGCCTGTCACTATGCCTGCAAGCCACTCGGGCCCAGAAGAAGGGCAAACGATCATCATCCTGAAGAACCCGGCCCCTCAGCGTCACCCTCAGCTCCTCTTCTGACAGCGACCAATTGTACCCAGATTGACTCTCGACTCCTAGAAGCCACTTTGCTCCACCACTACTACACTAACACCCATTCATCACTAGTCGAAGACGAGCATAGCCAGATGCAGTGGCAAGTAGCCCTACCCAAAGTAGCTACCACCCAGCCGTTTGCCTTAGACAGTCTTTTGGCATTTACCGCCCTACATCTCGCTTATCTCGAACCTAATCGAAGACATTTCTGGACCGTGGTGGCATTCGATTACAGTGACAAAGCATGCTCCGCGCTATCACGGGTTATCAGCCGGCTATCGGCCGCCACGGCGGACGCCGCCATGGTCTGCTCTATTTACATCGTTTTGTTCGCCATTGCACAATATCGGGTTTCTGGTCCATCAGCGAGCTACTTGGATGAAGTCTTGCGCATTGCGAAACTTATCCGCGGATGTGTCCTATTGAGTCCTAAGTCCAAGCTGTTCGATCACTCTTCTGAAGAGAAGGCCCATGACGGTAACTCCGAGATAGCCTTGCAAAAAGACGGTCCACAGGACGAGAATAATAAAAATCAACAGGTGGCTTCCAAAATACACCAGTATGTCTCCTTTAGATCTCCCCCTTTTATTAAGCCCCGGCCCCAGCCGCATTGCTTTCAAACTAAACCTCTGACACACTAACTCATCCTCGACGTAGCCTTGCCTCTCGAATTCTGTCCCAGCTTCACCACCTCGCCACAAACATCCCGGCACACCTTCACGCCGCATACACAGTCTCTATTCAGTACATATTAGACAAATTCGATGCAGACAGGTACCCAAACGCGCGACCCGATACGTCCGCTATACTTATATGGCCGCTCATATGGCCAGAGAGCTTTGCAACCCTGCTGCAGGAACGAGACTTCATCGCCCGTGTGGTCTTCCTGCTTTACCCGCTGACGTTGCACTTCGGGAGAGATAAATGGTATGTTGGAGATCTAGGCGAGGCCCTCCGTGACGAGCTGATCGCGCGTGAGGAGCGTATCCCGCCCGAGTGGGGCGAGACCGTTGAAACGATCAGACGGGCATTTGAGGAGGGGGATATGATTCCAGGCTGAGATAGCATTCTATTTATTGATACATGTATATTAACTGGGTTCGCAAACCATATCATCCACGAAGGCTTCTAGCAGGTGCAGGTATGCAGACTTCGTAAGTTTTGCCATAGAAATGGATGGGAAAGTATTGTCTGTATTCTCTAGCGGTGGCCGCAGATGGGGGGGTGCATTTCGCTTGGCGAGCGACCAGATAGTTGTGTTTCTCGCGCATCTACTCTCGCAAGTGCCACACATTCGTCAACAAATTAATCAATCTCCGCTCGAGTCAGCCCCACACGGACACTACGCCTAATAAAAATTACAGCCTAAACCTGAAATTTTCTTTAGAAATATATTATACATAGCTTTGGGTTGTTAGCTGCTGCTTATTTATTCTATTACTGTAGCTTAAAATACTTTTTTTATAGTAGTATCAGAAGTGCTCGATTATGCTGCACAAGTCTCCACGAAGTAATCATCCTCAATGGCCCTGGCCTCGCCGCACGACATGGGCAACAGCCAGACTATGAGCATTATCGAGATTTTAAGGCCCGCTGACGAAGTAAAGTGGGGTCGTAGCTGTTGGAAAGATCCATATAAAATGGCAGCCGCGGAAAAAAAGCGTGGTGGATAACGCTACAATCCTGTCAAGGCCTGTACATTTCGATTATCTGTTCGAGTGGGACGCTTCATCAGTGCTGGGTACCACAGAAAATAAACGGCCATTTGCCCGGTGTTGAGGAGTTGAGCGAGGAACAATAAAACCATCAACAGCTTCACAAATTGAGGCAACCTGACCGGTCTTGGTAGCTTCAAGGGCAAGGCAGAATCGTCCCTTTCAATACAGCAAGACCTTTTTAATGATTTCGGCAGTTTCGGTGGTGTACCTGCCTGCTGAGCAGCTTCGGTTCTTGGAGGTGGGAAGATCCAAGGGGTGGTGGCTCGCTCGGCTGCCGATTACGTTAGAGTTAATCTACCACGCCGTAGTATAGGAACCAAGCGGATAAAGACAGCGAACCGTGGTCATTTACTACCGCTACTACTGCTTTCATTGTTCATAAGAAAAAACCCAGTCACAGGATTTTAGGGCAAGTTGGCTCGAAGCTCAGTCTCCTCTATGCAAGAGTTTATTACGTATATATTTTCCCCCTCATCATCAAATCATTGACGTCATAATGTCAAGAACGATGCACAAAACTAGCCACGACGAGCTCATTGTCCAGCTTATGCGATTATCTGGAGGCTAATGCACCAAGTTCAATTCTGCAGATGAATTCCCGTACCCTGAAAAATCCATGCTAAGAAAATGTCAGTACACCCGGAAGCCTACTTTGAGACCCAAGCACGATTGACGACCTGGACCGACGAGCTTGAATTCCTGGGGTACATTCTATGCGAGCTTATTGATGCAGATGGATTGAATAAGAGAGGATACCGATGCCATCAGGCAGCTGACTTACCAGCTATAATTGACATTGTTCGGCTGCAGTTGGAAGATTCCAATGGCAGGCTCGCCACAGTGCTGAGGGAAGAAAAAATTGAAAGCCCTCCGCCGAGCAATGACCCAGGCGAAGCAAATTCGAAACAATATGGCGCATCATACAACGCAAAATGAGCACAAGCTGAGAAATCTTGAGGAAACGAAACGGAGCTTGTGTGATTTGTTCGAGTACGCTATCAAGGAAGCCGCATCGGAGCGTGGAATAAGCCAGGTCTGCTGTACTATTGAAGCATATTCTGAAACGGTACTAATAGCGTACTTGATAGATTACTTGGTCTCCGTGCTATCATATTTGCAAAACATATATAGAAGAAAGAGGGCCTCTGACAGTCACGATTCCACTGAATGAGGAATCTTTGCTATCTCTTCGCCAAAGAGTTCTTCAAGATCACGACATAAGTCAGCAAGGCTTGCTTTATCGTCGTCCAAAACGCAAGGCAACTGAAGCAAGCCGAAAAAAGCAGCAAGATGACTATGAAGCTGCCGTCACCAGACGAAGGCAGAGGCAAGAGCGAGATATGGCTTTACGATCCGACCATCTTACTCAGAAGCTTCAGAAATTGGAGCAAAGATTCCACATGTCCCGGGAGCTTCGTTCTGCACAAATAAACGTGCTGAAAGATCGTATGAGAGCAGAACAGGAGATGTTCCATCGACAGCGAGAAGAGATCCTTAAAAGTGGGCTTTTGCAGCCAGCCGGCCACGAGCCAATTCTGTTGATAACAATATTTCTTGCAATCAGCTCCCCGCTCTGGATACCTGGTGCGCTCATCTACCACATGTACAACAAATTCTCTGTCTAGCCACACATGCCAACTTGACGTTCAGCCGTAAAACCAAGTTTCTGACATATTGTAATAAATACCAATATCCTAAATAAGTTAGAAACTCGCAATTCCTTTAATGCATTTTGAACGGTAGTCTAATTAGCGCATCTAAAAATAGACATTTGTTACCTTGATACAGAAGAGATTTTCTAATTGAAACGTGATTTGGTATGCTTGATAACTTGCGTTGGAATTTTCGTTCGATCGACCAAAAGGTTCTGTAGAGTATAGATCTTAAGAGTAGTATACATAAAATACTACTGAGATTATGCTATACATTAACAAAACTATTTGATAACTGAGTATTGTGTGTTAGACTGCATCTAGATCTATAATCTGACTTCCCATATATTGTAATATTTAAGAAAATTTCTTTCTGTATACAGGTAGATCACCGGAAGCAGAGAATCTCAAAGTGGTATCAGAATTAGTCGAAGTATTTATCTACTTTGCTGTTCTGCTCGGCAGCTTAGCAAGAAGATGGTTCAGCGTTTGTAGTTTTTATATCGCTAATCATTGGTCAATTCATCTACCTCTTCTTAAATATCTGTTTATTACAGCCATGTCAGGATCGGTTGATTATAAGGCTTTGTTTCTGAAAGCCGAGGAAGAAAGAAAGATAATTGAATAAGAAATGAGGTAGAAGAAGACATTGAGGGAGTAAGCTAAAGAAGAGAGAAGGCAGGAGATATTAGTTTGTACTACTCTGCCTCTGCTAAGAAAACATCCTTATGTTATGGGGGCCCTCCACATCAACAAATAAAAGCGTACATGAGTCTATACCACTCCGCTAAGAGAATACCTTCCCATAAAATTACTATACCACCCACACCTCACCCATTCACCCTCCTCACAACCACCCAAGCAGCGCCGACCCCCACCAACCCCCAAACCCACTTCCACCCACTCCACCGCCCCTCATCACCACCATCACTCCCATGCACCAACCGCCCCTGCACCCAAACCGCCCTCACATTGCGATCATCCCCACTCCACACCCACTTATGCACCTTCTCAACCCAACTCTCCTCCCCGAACACGTCGACATTACTGATGGCGCCGTTCGCGCCCCAACGCCCCGCCGGCTTGAACCGCCCCAGACGAATCAACTGCGCATCCCACGCCATCCCCAGCTCGAACCCGCCGATCAGATCGGGCAGATCGACGACCGCCGCCCCGCCGCGCGTGGCGAGGTACAGCGCCTCCTCCACGGAGACCACCCCGTCTTCGCCCTTCCCCTCTCCCTCAGGGTACTTCAAGAAAGGAACCAACCGCGACACCAAACATGCCTGCCGCACCCCCTCCAACAGCCCCACACTATACCCGCCGCTCACGTCGCTGCCCAACCCCACCACCACCCCGCCCCTTCGCAGCCACCGGACCGGGCAAATCCCCGACCCCAGCGCCGAGTTGCTCGCGGGACAGTGACTCACCTTCGCGCCGCGGGCGGCAACGAGCGATCGCTCCGCCGGGGAGAAGTGCACCGCGTGCGCCAGGATCGTCCGGGGCGTGAGCAAGCCCGCCTCATCGTACACGGAAGCGTAATGCTCACAGCCTGGGAATTGTTCGCGGACGAGAGCGATCTCGTTGACGTTCTCGGCGATGTGCGTTTGGATGTGCAGCGGGGGTTTGTGTTGCCTGGCGAGGGTGGCGAGCCCCGAGAGAGAGGCTGGGGTGCAGGAGGGGGCGAAGCGCGGGGTGAGGATGGGTTTGACGAGGGTTTCTTTGGTGGCGGGGGCGAGGGAGTGGATGTGCGCGATGACCGCCTCGGTGTGGCGGATGCTGGCCTCGGGGGATTCGTCGATCAGGGTGGTCGGGCAGGTAGACCGATTATCCATGCAGACGCGGCCGATCAGGGCGCGTTGGCCGCGCTGGTGCGCGAGGCTTGCCAGGAGGTTCGTGGCGGGCACGTGGATGGTCGCGTAGTAGGCGGCGGTCGTCGTGCCGTGGCTCAGTGTCCGCGCGATGACCTGCGAGTAGGCGCGGTAGGCGGTGGGCGGGGGCAGGCTCGGCAGCGAGGCCGGGCTGGCGAAGGAGGCTTCCATCGGGAAGGTGTAGGTTTGCAGCCAGTCGAGGAGGGTGGCGCTGCCGAAGAGCCCCGTGTTGGGGTATTGCGGGGCGTGGATGTGGGTGTCTTCCTTGTTGTTAGTCAGGTGTGCATGATGGGGAGGCTGTCCTGAAGACTTCCCGGGGGAGAACCCCCGGGAAGTCTTCCTCTGGGATTGGGAATGAGGTTTACGGGTGAACTGAAAGAAGGGGATGGTAGGGTGCCATACCGATAAAACCTGGGAAGAAGAACTCGTTCTCCTCTTCGCGTGCCCGCACAAGTTTCACGCGCACGCTGCTGCGACTCCCTGCGCCCGCAAGCACCCATCCGTGTCGCTTGAGCAGGGTCTGCAGGTCGGACTCCGTCGCGACGCTCCAGTCGAACCCCTTGATCTTGCCGTCCGCGGTGGACACCCAGAGAGCGCCGCGGGTGATGGAGAGCTCATGCTTCTCGTCCGGAGAGGTGGTCCGGGGTAGTTGGATGAATGTACCCACGTAGAGGGTGTACATTGGGGATACCATTTTCGATACTGAGCGAAATTCAAGGAACCAACCAGTGGTGCTCCTGAGTGAAGCAGAGAACCTCTTGCTAGCTCCCGGATACCGCAGTAGACTATCGAGATATGTTTCTGTTCTGATATCAGCCAAATTCGCAATAACCAGATCAAAGGGTATGCAAAACCACGTACGAACAGGTGTCCAACTCACAGTCCCAAACCCACAAACCACGTTCTGCACTCTGCAAGGGCCCAACCCAAACTAATCCCTCAGCAGCCAAGTAACTCACCACCTAGAACAAAGCCAGTCCAACGGAAAGCCAAACCGAACAAATCTCAAAAAAGCGAAGCAGAGAAGTCAAGACGGGGATGGACGGTGGATCTTAAAGGGCGATGTTAATCGGGAGTCGCTAATCTCCGCCAATGGAGCCCGCCTGCCCCGGCCTCGGAATCCGGCCGGCTCCGGTACCTTTTCGGGCTTAGTCGGGTTGCATTAAGAGCTGAGCTGAGCTGATAAGATAAGGCTTCGTGCAGGGTGCCTGAGGCTGGCCTGGCAGCTGACCAGGATTAACTTCACTTAGTCCGGAGAAGGATTACGATAAGGCGTGCAATCATATTCATTGCGTGTAAACTTAGTACTGACAAGGTGAATTACCTATCTTAAGGTGTGGTCGGTGCCCGGACCCTGCCTAGGTACATAGTATTTACTTTCCCAACTGCACTGCAGTGACCAGACTCCACCCGATAATCAACTCAAAGCGTATACCTGAAATCCTCCGCCCCCTCGATAACCCTCTCCCCGCGCTCCGCCTCGGCATTCGACTTCCGGAACCACCAACTCAGCGCTCCCACAATCACTAGGATTAAAATATTGCACCTACCCAAGGAAAGATCAGCAAAGGCCATCGACAAAGCAGAGGAGAAACTCACGCGATCGTAGTCCACATGCCCGGCCGATACCCCGGGGCATCCTCCGACCGAAACACCAGACTGCTCACAATGCCGCCGATGCCCCCGAAGCCCACCAGGGTGGCGCTCGACAGCGCACGCGTCCACTGGCCGCGCACGTTGTTGGCCTGGTAGGCCATGACGGCGGGGATGTTGGAGTTGGCGCCGGCGACGCTGAAGAAGACGCCGACGTAGCGGGCGGCGTTGCCGTGCGCGAACCCCATGATCGGGAGGCCGATGATGCAGAGCAGCGCGTTGAAGACCACGATGGCGCCGCGCACCCGGTACTTGTCGCCGACCCAGGCGCCCCCGAACATGATGATGCCGGCGAAGACGTAGGGGGGCGCGGCGAGGCACTGCGCCGCGCCGATGCTGAAGCCCATGCCTTGCTGCAGGATGATGGGGAGGAAGTAGGCGATGGCGTAGGTGACGGTTGTGGTGCAGCTATCGAGTTTTAGTTTGGTCTCAAACCGAAGCAAATGCCGTGGGGAGCGTACAAGAAAATCATCGCGAACCCCCAGATTTTGAGATCCAGAGCGGGAGACAAGAACCGCTTCAGCGAGAAGGGCTCTTCGTTGCCATCCGATCGATCGCGGTTGATGCGCCGGACGATGAAGGAGCTTTCCTTCTCGGTGAGAAAGCGCCAGGACTTGTGGGCTCGGTCGGGGAAGTCGACCAGGAAGATCAGAGTGAGGACCCCGATGACCGCGGTGATCTACAGCTTCATCAGAAACCAGCCAGCCGTCAACTGCATGCCCCAGGTATACGTACAACACCTTCCATGATGAAGATCCATCGCCAGCCGCGCAAGCCCTGCAGCCCTTCCATCTGCATCAGCCCGAACGCGAGGATTCCGGCCAGAGCAGAGGCGACGCAGCCGATGAGGTAGAAGATGGAGAAGCGCTTCTGCACGTCGACTGCCCCGTCGTCAGCACAAACCCACACACACTTCCCAAAGAAAACATGAAACTTACACCTCGTGTACCAACTGGATAGTAGATACACACAGCCAGGGAAATAACCTGCCATCGTCAGCACCAACCTCACCCCTCCCCGAGGAAAATCCCCACTCACCAGCCTCCAAAATCCCCCAAGAGGAATCGACAGGCGACCATCTGCTTCCAGTTCTTCGTAAACCCCATTCCCTGGAGCGACAACAACCATCAGAAGTCCACCTTCACCCAAAAACAAACAACAATACACAAAAAGGTACTTACCACAAGAATTGCCCCCCAAGAGATAACAATACTGCCCAAGAAAATCGTCGGCCCAAACTTGCGAGTCACCACCGTCATCGGCGGTTGGAAGATCACGTAGGGAACAAAGAAAATGAGCACGATCACCGACTAAGTTACCGGCCGGTCAGCACAAGCACATCAACCAGCCCATTCAGCCACAGGGTGTAACCCACATAGCGTGTCCCAACCGTCAACTGCAGGTCTTTCGTCATGCTAGACAGGGCACAATCAGTACACAGTCACACGATGGTGGACACCAAGCCATAAACTCACCCCGCGACAGCAGCCATACTCAAATTCGTCCGATCCATCAAGGAAATACAATACGCCAGACCGGTCATAGTCACCAACCGGCGATCAATCCGATGGATGATCTTGCGCTGCTCCGCGTAGGAGTACTCTTCGTCTTGGTCGACATCGTTGGAGCTGGGGTTGGCCTGCGTGATGTCCTCGATGCGGTCCACACTGCCCCCGCCTTTCTCGCTGCTGGGAGGGGACATGACGAGCGTGTGGAGAGGTGGAAAAAAGGAAACTAGATTCTTCAAAAGCGACTATCGATGGAAAGTCCAACTTGCCAAGACCAAAAAAAAAAGCAATGAGATTTGGCAATGAGATTGTAGAAAAAAGCAGGGGGTAGCTGTCGGTCGGGGGGGTTAGTGAATAGTAGTTATATGTCGCACGAAGATTAAGGAAGAAACTGCCTGGCAGAGCAAAACAAGTCAACTAGTCAATCTGAAATCCACATCCTACTTCTCTCCCCGCTCTTGTTCGTCTGTCATTCTCCACCTACACGCGGCTGTATGACGAAGTCGACTCCCTCCATTGTCTCCCCTCCACAGACCACAGATTCGCTCAGCTGATGGCGTCGCTGCCAAACAGGAAACTTAGTTTCCAGGACCCTCAGGCGCAATGAATCCAATAACCGCTCAACGAGTCAACAAGTTACCTCGGTCTGGGGAAGAGAAGGGAAGGAGAAAAGACAATGGTCCGGGGAAGGGGGTTTTCCCCACAAAAACTGGAGCAAGACAAGTTGACAACCTTCCCCCTCCCCGGATTTGGGCGATGTGGAGGCAGGGAGAAAGAATGCGGGGGTCGGGGGGGAGAATCATGGATGGTCCCTTGGCATTCCCCTTGGCAGCCAGACCAAGAGCCGATACGAACAACTGACTCTTTGCCATGGCCTGGCGTGGCGACCAGAGAGGGTCTGGCCGGAATCGCGTGGTATTTGCAAGGAGCTGCTGGTCGGGCTGGGTTCCAGCTTATTCAAGCAAATCAAAGTTCCATGCCCTATACAAACTGAAAACTAAACTACCTATTGCTATGCACAGATCATTCGTTATTCTTCCGAGTCGGAAACACAAAAACGCCTCATCCACAGAACCCACACTGCCTACACCCACACTCATATAACAATGTACACGATACCCCAAGAACCATATTCCGGAGCGTTTATCTGTGCGCTCTTTGGTTCAGCTCCATTCCCTCGAACCTCGGCATAACAGACTATCTAGTTGACCCATACACATCCTCTTCGCTCTCCTCCGGAATCAGCCATTGCCGCTCGCCACTCTCCTCCATGTCCCGCTGCTCCTCCTTCATGTGTCTTCCGGCCAGGTAGACAAAGGCCACCAGCGCCGTCCCCACGACGAATCCAGCGCCCGCGAAGAAGATGTTGATGGGCATGGGGTTGCCATCGAAAGGTCCATGGGTGAGGGCATCGAGGCCGTACTGGGAAAAATTAACCAGTCCCGAGAAGCAGATGATAGTCCCGTAGACGCGCCCAAAGGTGGCGAACCCAAACACCTTGGTGGCGTAATCCCTGCGAATCACAAAATCAGAACCCATCAGTATATCCTTTGGTGCAAAGTCAATATCCTAGACAAGAACTTACGACATCGCAGAGTAGTAAAGTGGCCGCAACAACACGAACAGGGTCACGGTCACATAGCCCGTCCACAGGACAGGAATGGAGTTGAATATGCCAATCACGGTGGTGAGCACGACAATGATGCCGAGGATGGAGGGCACGCTGAGGTTATCGAGCAGCATCCCGATGAAGGGCGTGGAGATAACCCCGCCGACCGGCAAGGCCACGTCGAAGAAGCTGTTGATCTGGGCCGCCAACGGGACGGATTGCAACATGTACTCGTACTGCGCGTAGATGGTCGCGATGAAGTAGTTCATCCGCAGCATTTGCAGCACCGTCATCAGGGTGATCAGGACAAACCACGGGGTCAGCATCTGCTTGTGCGCCGGCTGGCCATGCAGCGCGCCCCAGACCGCGCTTGTCGCCTGGCGCTCTTCTTCGTGGTGCTCACGCTGCAGCCGCTCGTCGCGATCGCCCAGCACCTCGTCAATCTTATGGATCTTGTTGAGGCGGCGCTCGGCACGCTCCCGGCGGATCCGCAATAGCTCCGAGTCACTCTCAATGTCGTCATCCGAGTCGTGCACGTCGCGGGTCGCGTCCTCCGCCTTTTCTATTCTAATCTCTAACTGATGCGCGCTTTGATAGTCGCGGGCGGGCATGATGGTAATAAGGGCAATCAATATAACCACGGGGACCAGCAGGTACCCCGTGAAGAAGGCCTGGGGGGTGAAGGACCGGTCGGTGGCGTCATACGCCAAACGGTAAAATAAATATACAGCTGCCGATGCATCGAAGGCGCCGGTGACCAGGGCCACAATGGTTCCTGCATACTTGGGAAACGCATTGGCGATCTGAAACGAAGGCACGAAGATGAAAGTCCCGCCCAGGGCGAGGAAGAAGTTCGCGAGGATGTACCCGTCGAACCCGGGCTCCGAGAACGAATATGCCATCAACACACAACCGATGGACAGAAGCACGCAGCCCGCGAAGCCACAGACGCGAGAACCATAGCGATCTAGGATGGTTCCGACCGGCAAGGCAGACACGTTGGCTGTGATCGAACTAACGGTGAAGAAGAAGTTGAGTCTGCTCGAGTCAGCGGATGATCCTTCCAAGGGGGGCGAATTTGGCGGAACGGGCCATACGCACCTGAGATCCTGTTCCACACACACATCGACACCGTCGCGCAGTTCTTCGTCAGTGCACAGATCCCTGTATACTCCCTCCGCGATCAAGACCGGCTTGAGCGCTGCGAATCCGAAGACAATGCCTGCAGCGAACCAGCATGCCAGAATCGTGACGGCGACCTGGGCTA